TCATATGAGTCTTGTAAGATATTTTCAAGCATAATTAAGTTCTGAGCTAAGTACAATTTTGTCAAAGTAGCTATTATCACTAACAATTGTATTAGCAGTAAAATCTATAAATTCACACTCATCATATATTTAAAAAAATGGTGTGAGTTCATTGTTCGTAATATTTCTAATGTTGAATTTTGCATAATGTTTGAAGTGAAACCCCTAATACACCTCATGTCACCAAAAAGAAGAATTATACTATGAATATGAATACAATCCATTAAAATTAGAACCCTGTATAATAGTTGTAAAATATATCAACATGATTAAAAACGAGAATAACAGGTAACTAAGATTATTCAGTACGCACATCCTTCTGAAACATTCTTGATACAGTGTGTAACAACTAAAACTTAACAGAGCCGGAGGTGCCGTAAGTGGCACCTCCTTATGAAGGTTGCCTTTTGACGTGGATATTTCATGCTTCGTATATCCAGATCCACTCTGAAGCATAAGCAAGAGTACAGAGGACCAATAATTCGTTCGTTCAATATCCCACACCGTTCGTTATTGTTTCAAGCTTATTTTAAAAAATAACTTTAACACTTTGGTTTGATGTTCTTTGAAAGCGTGTTTTTTTATTTTTTTGAACTACATNATTAGCTTCCATGTTTTTATGATAGTCAAAATTGCAGTCCTCAAGTTTTTTTCCACATAATTTAAAAGAATTCGGAACGATCCTTTACTTCCTCCACAATACACAATGATTAGTTGCGATCCTTTGTTTGCAGACATGTTAGGCGTACACATTCTCGAACCATCAGTCCACCCTTTCGTAACTGTGTCGTGAGTGTCATACCAAGATTCGTCCAAATAGAAAATTTGCCGTTGTTCTTGTCTATATTTAGTTATTTGTTTTAAGTATTTATCACGCAATTCCCCTATTCTTCTGCTTTCCATAACTGCTTGACGTTTGTTTATTATTTTAAATTCAAATCTTAGTTTCTTCATTCAATTCTGAAGAGTTATGTCTCAGAAGCTCACGTTATAGCCGGAAGTATTCAATTTCTTCCTTATGATTTCAGTTGTAGGAATCTCATTACTTATATTTTTTTTCAATGATTTTATTAGATGAACATCAAAAGGTTTTGGTAATCCCGTATCACATCGCGTCTTGCGTTCATAAGGTTTGTTTTTGACTATTTTGCGTACAGTTGAGAAAGAAATTTCGGTCAAATCTGATATTGCTTGTAATAGTTCGTTTTCCTCGATACCAAATTCGAGATGTGAATTCTTATATACATTGAATCATACTCTCTATGTTTCAATATTCAAATGCATCCGAAACTTATTCACTGGTATCTCTTTTTCGCATTGTTCACCATCGCTATTGTAATCAGTACACTGGAAAAGTCTGCGTTGTAATCACACTCGTTATTACTATTAGTACTTGTACAAGGACGCCACATTTTAAACAGATAACAAAAATTTCAAGTAAATTATAACTGCACCAATATCGAATTTCAACACTCGAATCGCGAACAGTTCCTTCACTGAACACGACGGCGATAACCATCCCCGCCTTCCCGATTTTTATTCGTCACCGTAACATGACTTCAAATTCAATTTTATGACCCTTCAGCCAATCATAAAACTCTGTTAGTAAAAAGTTTCCAATACGAACCGCCAATTCTTCACTCCACGAGGACTATTTCGCAGCCGGTTCATTTCTATGTATTGGTTTTTCTGGCCTTTGAGAGTGCTGACAACTTTAAGTGTGCACACTAACGTTTACTTCGACTATAGTCACGACCCAATTATGAATAATACCAAGCTGCATGTTTGAATAACAAATCGAAACACCATATAATAAAACGTTCAGTTATATTTACGTTGACCTTACTTTAGAAAATGAGGAAACAAAACACCTGGTATCAAGGCGAAAGAAGCCATTTGGATCGGGGAACAATCCCTTATCGTCAAACACCGAAATTTCCGTGAACCGTATATCCAGATCCACTCTGAAGCATAAGCAAGAGTACAGCCGGGTCTTTTTGGAGTGTTTGACTCACGTCCTCGACGTTAATTAATCACCGGGAATTCAGGCGTCGGCGGTGCGGGCTACGGAGGGCGGCAAGGGGGCCGGCCCGGTAAATGGAACTGAACATCAGTCGTTTCGCTACCGGACAGACACTGATGTATTGCACGTCCGATGTTATCGCACCTTATTCGCCGCTGCAACGGGATGCACTTAATGAGTTTCAAAATACGGGGGGGGGAGGAAATGTATTGACGTTGTAATATCGCATTATTGTGGATATCGAAAATCACACTGAATCAAATCTGTCTATATTGAACGCAATCCCCCCTAGCTATTGGATCAGGTTTTTCTGGAAACGGTAAAGAATCGACGATAACTGGCTGGGCCTATGCTATGATCATAAACATAAAAACTATTAAGGCTCTCCAAGATGAGGCCGTGAAGTTCAAGGTCACTATCAAATACTCTTTCAGATCAGAACACTCGACAGAGTTACAAGTCCTAAGGGTAGTAGACTATGCGACAGAAGGTTTCAACCTGGGCAAAGGATACCACAACGTAGCGATTTTCTTGGACGTCTCCAAGGCGTTCGAAAGAGTTTGGCATCGCGGACTTCTGGCCAAAATGAGCCATTTTGGCTACACGAAACAAATGGTAAGACTAATCGAGTCTTTTCTAGCTTACAGGGGATGCCGCTGCGGAGTAGGACAAGAACTCTCAACCATGCGATTACTGGAAACAGGGGTCCCACAAGGTCTTTTCTAGCTTGCAGGGGATGCCGCTGCGGATTAGGACAAGAACTCTCAACCATGCGATTACTGGAAGCAGAGTTCCACAAGGTGCAGTCCTTTTACCACACCTTTTCTCGGTATACACAGCAGACATGCCCAAGCCGGAGAACAACTTTAACAAGTTGGCACTCTATGCGGACGACACAGTTCTGCTGGCGAGATCAACAAGCCAAGCGCACGTCACTAGATACTTGCAGCAACAGACAGATAGATTAGAGGAATGGGCCAACCTGTGGAAGATCAGTATAAACCCTGACAAGAGTCAGGCAATACTGTTCACCCGGAGGATGGTACACCCGGAAGGAAAAAAAACATAATTCAGCAGTAATACCGTAATAGTAATAAGCTCACACGGTAGAGTAACTTTCAATTTGGGCTCATGTATTTTGACTAGGGTGCAAAAGTTTCTTAACATGGTTCTTAACTTGACCAATAACTTGACCAATGTCGAGATTTTCACAGAGTTGATTGTAAAGTTTGCTCATTGCAACAACTGATGACTTGAGTAATATGTTTGCTCTAGAATTTGGTAGACAAAAAGTAAGTTCATTTCTAGAATTAATTCGTGGAACATGAAAGTTAAAGTGGGAGAGTAGTTCGGGACAATCAATCAGATTGTTTATAAATGAAAAGTATAGAGAAGTAGGTTCTTGATTTTGAAGGGATAATAGATTAAATTTATTTAGTAGTATTCTATTGTCGATGCCTTATTCAGGGTAAACTCCTTCTAGCTTGTAGGTAATATATTGCATGAAGCCCCTTTGTATAGACTCAATTTTGTTTATGTGGACATTGTATATGGGTGACCATATAAGGGAGGCATATTCCAGCCGAGATTTGATGTATGCATTGAAAAAAGTTAAAAAACTGTCTCTGCTACGAAAGTTCTTACAGTTACGATAGATGAGCCCTAGCATCCGTTTGGCTAAGCATGTTATTGTGTCGTAGTGAATGGAGAAACTCAGTTTAGGGTCAAATGTGACACCAAGATCCCTTTGCTGAGGGCACATTTGAAGAGGTGTATTATTTATGCAGTAATCATGAGAAATAACATTATGTTTAAGGGTGTAATTTGAGTATTTACATTTGTTTGTATTGAGGGGAAGATTATTTTCGGTACACCAAAGGTACAAAAAGTCAAGGTCTTTTTGTAAGATTAAGCAGTCCTCCTGTGATGTAATGGGCCAAAAGAGTGAGAATAAAAGAGGTGCTAAATTGCTTCCTTGAGGGGCACCACTGTTTGCAATAAATTGGAACAACTTGTGATCCCTATAATCTACGAATAGGATACGTTCAGTTAAGTATGAGCGGAAAAGGTTCTAGGCCCACGCACTTAGGCCACATGTGACCCATTCTTGTAGGTTATTATTAAGTGCATTACTTACTGATTGTGTGAAGCACATTAAGTTAGTTATTGTTGATCTTTTGCTAAAAAAACCGTGTTGATTGTTTAAAATTAAATTCTTGATATCAAGAAAGATTCTGTTGTACAAGCACATCTCGAAAGCCTTTGCAAAGTTGGATAACAATGTTATAGGTCGGTAGTTTTGGATATTGTTTATGGCATCAGCTTTGAAAATTGGGCAAATTTTTGATATTTTCCATTTGTTAGGAAAGCATCCTGTACTCAGTGCTAGATTGAAGATTGATGTTGTTGTTGTTGTTAAATAGTATTGTTCAAGATTTCGGGGTGGTTCGTAATTTCATTAATTTTAAAACTTTCTACGGCTTATTTGAATATGAGTGAAGTAGACAATTAACATGTCCCGCACATGAGTAGAGTCCTTAATTATTTTACGCAACAAATGTGTTGAACAAATTTTCATGAAAAAAAATTCTGGGCGAAGAAGGATTAGAATTTGCGATATTTGGATGGTTAGTCGAGCTTACTACCACCGTTGCAATTTACCAATTCATAGGATCTTTACTGCAATGTTCAGAATGGAATTACATTTGGAATATCTGATTTCTCATAGAAAAAATAAGGCATATTTCACAAAATGTAATTTTTTCAAAAATAATCAATAAATCACTTACATATAAAAACTGAAACAGTCTTATGCCCAAACTTGTACTATACATGATCCAGTGACCGTCATCAGAAACACAGCAACAAATCACACCTTCTCTCTCTTCATCGTCACAACCTTTGCCAACCCTTTGCAGAACTAAAAGTTTTTTTGGATCTTTTTCTAGAGAAACCATTCCCCTGTAGCTAGCCTCGGTGTTTTGACTTTTTCCCAGACCCCACAATTCTATGTGTTTAGGATATTGCAACATGACATATTTGGCTTCCTGAGATACGTGGACACAGGGGTCTTGTAACAAAGGAGGGAGTTTCAGAAGTGTTTTTGGTGGATGGAAACTGCAGGATAAGTAGCCATCAGCTCCACCAGAATATAGTTTGTTATCGCATATTACCAGGGCATTTACATCATGGTCATGAATTTTCCTCTGAATGCTTTTCACCCATTTCTGTGCTCCACCTGAAAAATTATAAGTTCCATTTTTGAAAATGAAAAACATGTCGTATACTCTGCACAGTCTATATTTGAAAAATATTTTATTTTATATTATGTATATTGTGATAAATACTGAAATGATAAAGAAACCCAATTGAAAGAACAAACATCTATCTCAGTTTTATTTAATCATTTTAAGTTTTCTAGGGATAATAATTCAAATTCATCAAAAGCAAAATTTTCTTTCAGAATCACACAAAGCCTAAGCCTGAAATAATATATTGAAACAAGATATACATCAATAAATTAAATTAACAAGAGTTTTGTGACCACTTGTTTTAAAGTTATTTTAAAGCTGTATTTTACAAGCTTGAGTTCATTTTTCAGATAATGAATTGAGTTCTCAGTAATAGAATAGTAAAATTACTTCAAGCAAACAACATGTGAGAGTGAACAGAAAATTTCACTGGCCTTAGTAACAACCCCGTGTTTGAAGTGAATTTGATGTCACAAATTTATCGACAGGAGTGTTTCTATCCATCATTGTTTTTGTTTTATCAACTTTTCATATTCACCTTTAACACTGATTTTTTGATAGTTAATGATGTTGGGATCTGCTCCAGCACAATACAAAGAATTATCTGAAAGGCTTATTGCGAGAATATCAGATCTGTGTGACTGATAACTCTCCACCTGAGATCCAATGTTTCCATCCCAGAAAGTCAAGCGCCCTCTAGAGTCACCACTGATAATAGTAAAATCTTCTGTGACTTCTACACACCATACTATTGTAGGTTTATTTGTTTCGGATCTTCCAGTTGTCATTTTGTGAATCGCGTGACCTGAAAATACAGAATTTTCATTACAGGAAGTTAGTTCATGACAGACAAGTTTTACAACTTTTAATTGACCATGTAGAGGGGAGTTACATCTGAATAAAATTTATTACCCTAATTCAATCATTACCACTGATTTTAAGAGAGCTTTTCCTCTGAAAGAAGATGGTTGACTAATTATGACTATTAGATGAAGAATATCAGAGATACAACATGCACGATTTACAAACCTGACTGAACATCCCAAATTCGAATTGCATCAATACTGCCTGAAACAACAAATTTCCCATTGTAGCTAAACTTCAAACACATAATTCTTCCTTCTTGTTTATCACAAAACTTCTCAAAGGACACCCCATCTTCGTTCAAACTAAAAATGTTCAAGTATCCCTGTTCTGTGCCAACAGCAATTCTTGATTCCTCTTTGTCGACGTCCAAACAAAACGCTGCTTCACCTGTTACTGCCCACTTCTTTTCCAAACACAAACGATACAAATTGTATTCAACCAATAAGCCATGTAGTCCAGTGCTAAATAGTTTATTTCCACACCATGCTAAACCTTCTATACTGAAATTTTCTGCTGTAGAAGAGATTGTACGTTCTAGAAACCAAATATTATTGAGGTTCCAAATTTCTATGCTGGCATCAGATCTGAAAAATAAGTAGTTCTCACCAAAAACTAGTACCTATTATAATCTTTTAAAACAAAACACTTTAATATGAGATTCCCACTTGAAAGTTCAGAAAATCGCTCTAATGGATTTTCATCGAGTATTGGTCAGTTCTACCATAGAATTATTACCATTTCTCACCTGGACACTGCTAATTTTTTTGAAGATCTTTGAAGGGACATACATCGGATTGCCCTTGGTTCAGGGTTATAAAACCGGACATTATGTATTTTGAACTGAGACATTTTGAAATGTATAAATCAAAAACTATTCACCAAATTCAAAAACGTTCTACCACCAAACCCTTCTTGAAAATATAAAATAACATAACCCCATAACCTAACTCAAAAAAACATAAAACATAACCTCTCTGTATAAAACTGAATGATTACTTTGACGCTGTTGCCACATTCCAGATATATAATTAATTTCAATTGTACCAACACGATAAACAATAACATTATATTATTAGAAAGTTACTTCCATAAAATGTAAAAGATTCAGAGTTCCCAAAATTTTCAGAAATCGAAGTTTTAATTTCAGACACTGCTTTCTGGGCAATTCCTCTCTAAGGTCAATCCAAATTATTTTCGACTATCTTATTTCTAATTCAACGAATTATTTTTACTGTTATAACCGATATTGATACAATCGTTCGAAAATATAGAACCCATACCATCGTCTATCCATACCTCCTGCAGGAAGGCTAACGGTAACTATAAGATAAACATGCTCAATTATTTTCCGAGTATACTTCAGACTCGCACAAATATTTTATTCAAGAAATTACTTCTAACCTGATTACTCTCAGAAGACTTCTCTTTAGAATACATCGAGTATACAAAGTGAAGGTCGTCGTGGTTTGGAACTGTATCTCGGCCGCGAAAGCCTGAACCAATTTAAACAAAGTAAACTTTTAAAATTCTTCCTTTCAGCCAAATATTCCGCGGACTTCTGTGTTGCCTTTCATTTGTTCAGTAAACGAAAATCTGTCTCACCGGTTTCAGCACGAGGTAATGCTGAATGATAAGTTTCAATCAAAGAAATGGTTTAGAATTAGAGTTTCCATATCATCTATATGTTCTTGAGCGAAATAAGTTTTCATTTTCGAAGGTAATAGTTCAGTGAATGTTTTGAATAACGTAAAACAAAATATTTGTCTGTGAGAATGCTTTCAAAATTTGAACAAATATCGTTTTTAAGTTATCTTGAATGAAATAATGTACTGTATAATATTGAGAAACGAGTTTTATCGGATTCAATAGCCAAAAAAACTCTTTTATGCTTGATCAGAAATCAAAGGAATAATTTCTGGAAATTTCGATGTTGTCTAGTTTCCAATAGTAGCAACTAGCAAACTATTTTTGACAATAATAATATTTTGTAATTGCCATTAATTAAAAACAATTCAGATTTTATTGCAATCCAATCAGTGGTGTCATTTTATAGCTTTTGCGATAGATCGACGAAATTGAAACTATGAATAAAATAAATATTTTGGGTTTTTATTTAATTATCGTTAATCTGTCAGAAATCAGTTCAATTTGTTATATTAGATGGCAACACTTACAGATTGTTGCGCATGCGCAAGTGTCTGACTCTACACAGATAAAATATAGGAATCTACCGGTTTTTTTAATAATAAGCTACAGATAATTATTTTGACTTGGTGGTGTGGTACCACTGTTGCTGATTGATATCGTGGCTTAGAAACGTTCATACTTCGTGGCAGCTGTGATTGTTTAGAACATAAAATAATAGAATGGAAATAGTTCAGGAAAATTCTAACCAATATGTATTGAGTATTCCAATAGCATTTATAGTTTTAATAATAGTTGGAGCAATTTTAGTATTTACTTTTGGGTTCAAGTCTGCTGAGCAACCACCTTTTGACAAACTTACTAATGAAGATAGAAAGTTGATTGGAAAGAAACGAAAACCCAAAGAAAAGGTAAATTCAAATAAAAAATATCTATCGTCTTCATTGACTGACGGAGTTTTTCCTGAATACTTATCTGAAGTTATTCAAAATGAAGCTAATTCATAAAGAAGGAAAGTCTCTGCGCTCCAGGTTTACTGAACGTTTGTTGGCTCTTTGAACCCTTATAGCAAAAATATCGGTCTATGAATAAACTACCAAGTAAGCCATATTTGTCACATAGTTTGAATCATGCGAAAAAAATTCATGCAGTCACTTCCAGGCCTTGTCTCCTACAAGTTTATTAGTATTTTCATATCAGTTGCAGAAAAATATTGATTAGTCTCAAAGAATTTGGATTTTGTAGCAACATTTCTATGTATGTATTCCAATGTAACAAATGACGGCAAAATTGTCGATATTGGAGTGATACAAATCCTCAATTATAATATCAAGTTCATACCTAACGACCTCAAAAACTGAATGTTTGGACAGGAATTTTAGGTGACCAGTGACTAGTTGACTAATAATAAATATTTGGATATGTTGGAGAATCGAATAATACCATGCATCAATAAGGGAAATTGAGGAGAATATAAATTTATTCGAAAACAAAATAGTTTTTCAACAGGATAGTGCACTTCCTCATTATGCAGCTCAGTGCGACAATATTTGGATGATCATTTTCCTGGTCGCTGGATTGGCAGAAGAGGTCTTACAAAATGACATTCAAGTTCTTCGGATACCACCCCTGTAAATTTCTTGCCATGGGGTCATTTGAAATCTAAAGTGTATGAGAATCAACATTAGAAGATTTGAGAGAGAATATCATGAGGCATTGCAGAGAAATAACTCCCAATATTCTCAAGGGTGTGAGGGCGGCAATGAATAGTTGGTGGAAACGTTTTTGAACATTTACTAGAGAAATTGTTTTTCCTCACATTGTCCAGTCATCAAATTTTGATTCAAGAATTAATAAAAAATCTCTTTTTCTGATTTGTTGCTTCCATATTTGTCTCTAAAATGAACAATTATTTCAAAATGTGGCCTCCTGTAATTGTTGACCTGTTTTTTTATTTTTCCTGCAAATCATTGTTTCAAAAGTTATTCAGGGTGGCAAGTTTTCAAATAATTTGTAGCTCCTGAACCATAAGCTTCAGACCATATATATTTCATACTTTGTTGAAATTTGCTCATCATGGAGCATCTGATAATGTGAAACAATATAGGGTGATCCATTTAAAAAAAATTGGTGACATGCTCTGGAGGTGCGATGGGGGAAGTAACATCAAATGTGAATGTGTCAAAATGTGTCCCTCTGTATACTATTGTTGACATGTTTTTTTTTTATTTTTCCTGAAAATCATTGTACCTAAAGTTATTCAGGGTGGCTCGTTTTACATATAATGCACTGTATAAGTTACTATACAGTTTTTCATTTACCTCTATAGCAGAACACTCATCATGCAATTCAAGTTTCATTGTCATAATACGTTGTATAGAATTTTGATAAGTTATTGACTAAAATTAATCCGAAATGTAAATGAATAATATAAATATTAGATTTCATTATAACACAAAAAATGTTTTCAGTGTTCAAAATTTAGATTTCTGAAACAATAAACTACCTATAAACCACTTTCATATTATGTAAATATCCAGTACAACAAATGAATTAGTTGTGATTCATTCGTTCGTGAACAAATCACTTTGTTTTAGAAAACAACATCTAGTGGGTTTGTCACCAGTGGGGAGATAAAAAATGAAAAAGAATCCAAAAAATCACCAGGAAAGGAGCATTTGGATGTTAAACTGGAACAGAAAGAAAGAAAAATAGATAACAAACAACTGGAAAAAAATAAAAAAAATGAACCCATTAAAGTGAAAAGTAATGAGGATATAAAAAACAAGAGGAATGTAAAGAAAGTTTTAGAAAAACCTGTTGATTTTGATGATGGTAACTGGGAAACAGTTCTTACAAAATCCGACAAGAAAAAGAAGGGAGACCAATCGTCTGAAAAAAAGGAGAAAAAAGTGAAGAAACCTGAGAAAGAGGAAACAGAAAAAAAAGTTGAAATTGTTATAAATGAAGAATCAAAAGAGAGTGACATAAACATTGATCAGAATTCCACCAAACCAAAAGTAATTGATGTTGAAATTAATATTATTGAAGAAAAATTAGAGGCAGAAAATGAAAAGAAGGGGAAAGAAATCAGAAAAGAAGTCTATAATCGATCAGATGAACCCGAAGTAAAAATGATGTTGGTCAATTGTCCAGAACCACTTTCACTTGAAACCTCTGCTGATACTTGTCCTACACAAGATGCATTTATATCTAATGAAGCAGCTGCTGTTTTTGACGAGCTCGGGGGTAAGTTTTCGAGCACCCTTATAGTTTTTTCTCGTACATTTCTGGTTCAACACCAGTAACTTCTGAGAAACTATTGACCCCTGGTAAATAATGATTATATAACTTCAATTCTGATATTGAAATGTATGTCGTACTCTGAGATTTTCTAATACTCAATATTGGTTGACCAGAAATCACTACCTGATCTCTTAAGTACTGGTAGTTGAAAAGATTTCAATAATTCTGAATTGATTATTACTCAGAGGAAATTGCACACACACACACACACTATATATATATAGTGTAGTTTTTCACCATATGTATATATATATATAT